AGGGAAATCCCCCAACTCCCCCTCGGTTCCATGGCCGGACCACTGGGCTTTCAAGAATCCCAAAGGGGTGGCGTACTGCAGAGATCATCACCTCCACAACAAGTGTTCGGGATCGTGCGGCCGTTCCCACAACTGCCCGGTCAGGAAGGTGTGTGATGCCCCCCATCGAAGTATGCTCCACAGGCATGCCCTCACCTTCCCAAGTGACAGGAGGCCACCCAGGGTGCCATAGGCCCCGTGGCTTCCCGGTCTCAGTTGGGATCTCAGGCCACCAGTGCGAGTGCACACAGAGGGGGAGAGCCAGCCGCACCAGAGCCACAGCGGATGGCAGACAGAGCGGGGGAGGCCTCAGATGGGACTTCTCCAGGCAGGGTGCCACCGGCCCCGGAAGCCCCTCCACCGAAGAAGAGGAGCGGTCCCAGCCAGGGCACTCCAGAAGGGCGGAAGCATCCCTTCCCCCCGCACCCACCGAGGCAGTGGGTAGACCCCCCAGAGAGACCCAGAGGTGAGGATCCGCCCAGCAAGGGGCGCTCCAAGGGCGGGAAGAACCGCCAGGGCAAGCATCAAGCCCGGGGACAGATGACGGGGGGATCAGACAAAGGTAGCACGGAATCCCTAGGGGGGGCAAGCCCCACCTTCCCATGGATGCAGGACATCCCGGAAAGACTGAGGCTCAGACTGGGGTGGACGCCGAGGCCAGTGCCGGGGTCTTCAAAGCCGTCCCTCATCCTGCTGTACGCTGGGAAGGATGATGCGGGGGCCCTGGATGCCTACCTCCATGCCTACAACCCGGCCTTCTCGGAGTACATTTGGGCGGTGGATATCAGGAGAAAGGGTGGAGACCTGGGCCAGGACATGCTGGGCGAGGAGCCTTACTCGACGATGTGCTCCATGGCCATGGCGGGTAAGGTCGCATTGGAGCATCCTCAGGTGGTTCCCCAAGCCGGGTGGCCCACCGCCGGTGAGGGGCAGAGCAGAGCAGACCTTGTGGGGCTTAGAGGACTTGGAGCCCCGGGTTAGGGAGGACACGGACAATGACAGCGTGCTCATGCTCCGACAGATGTACCTGACCTCGCTGGCCTACAAGGGGCTAGGTCAGCTAACGGTCCCGCAGGTTGGCTCCTCCTTCCTGGAGCACCCGATGGACCCGATGGAGTGCAGCAAGAGCCCGAGCGCAGCGAGGTGCTCATCGATCTGGGTCACGCGGGCCTACGTTCAATGGGCGAGTGCACTCCACCACTCCCTCATCAAGTTCGATGAGTGCTGCCTGGGCCAGGTGGTTGTGAAGTCCACGGCGTTGTCAACGGACCTTCCTCTCCACCATTGGCATGACCTGCGTTGCAACCACGGGTCTCACCCCAGGGGAGAAAAGCTCAACTCCAGTGACCTCAGCCAGTACCCGGAGCCTTTGCCGAGCGGGACCCGTCCTGGAGGCGCTGAGGCCGGGAGGCATGGCGCCCCAGGCTAACCCAACGACCCCCCCGAGGCGTCCAAGGGAACCTTCTCCCAGCACGCCGGGGGACAACAAGCGCCAGTCCCGAAGGCTGAAGGCGGGCCAACAAGCGTTGGCAGGTCTGACCTTGGGCTCACTTCCGGTCTCGGCCTCGGATAATCCAGAGGCGGGGACATCGACACAGAGGACTGGCGAGGTGGATGAACTTGGGGGGGGAACTCTTCCCCTGGATCCATGGGCACACCAGGGCATGGAGATCTCGGATCGGCCCACCATCCTGCCGATCACGCACGACCCCAATATCTCCGACAAGGTCATGTACCTCCAGATGGCTTTCAAGCAGCGTCCCTTAAGAGACGGTGGAGTGGAGGAAAGCCCTCATTGGGACGGTTGGCCCCGTGGGCCCGACCGCTGTCCAAAGCAGCGGCGCTGGGGGCCAAGATCTGTGTCCTCACTTCGCCGTGGGGGGACAAGCTCCAGGAGTCGCTCTCGTTGGGGGATGGGTCACATCCCTTCCCGGAGGACCTGCTGGAGGACATCAGGGAGATTCTGGCGCCGGGGGCAGGCCGACCAGCGGACGGCCAACCCTTCTTCCTGGACATCTTGCACAGCGTGGCGCTGAACATTCAGGACCCCGACCACCAGTTTCCCCGGGACCTGGAGCAAGGGGTCCCACTGGGGGTCACGGACCCACCCCTGACCTCGCCGGGCATCTGGCCACTCAAGAAGGAGCTGAAAGGGGAGGAGCCGGAGTTCCAGGAACTCCCCCACCAACGGGCAGGGGCATACCCCTCGGCGGATCACTTCAGCGATCTCATCCGGGGCACATTTCTGGAGGAGGTCCCCATGGGCATGGTGGAGGGCCCCTTCAGTAAGGAGGAGGCAGCATCGCGATGTGGCTGCGACAGCGAGGACCTTTGTCCCGGCCCCCTAGCGGGCATCGACGAGGGGGACAAGATCCGCACGATCTACGATGGCTCGGTGGGAGGGGCCAATGACACCATCAGGAACCAGACGGTGGAAAGGACGACGGCTCCGACGGTGCTGGATGGGGTTCAAGCTCTCCATTGGCTACATGCGGCAGCTGCGGAGGGACCCCCCTCTCAGGGTGCCTCTGGCCCCGAGGGGGGGACTGTCAAACCTCCACCTGGGGGCTGGCTATGGCCGGAGCCGGGCACCAGGTGGGTGCTGCTCAAGGCGGACGTCACCAAGGCCCACCGGAGAGTGAAGGTCCTCAGGAAGGACTGGCGGTTCCAGGTGGCCTCACTGGGGGAAGAATGGTGGGTGAACAAGGTAGGCACATATGGCATGGCCAGTGCCCAATCCTACTGGGGACGCCTGGCAGCCCTTCTGCTCAGGGTCCTCTACGCACTTTTCCCTCAAGTGGATTGGAACTTCGTCTTCGTCGACGACTTCCTGTGGCTGCTTCGAAGCGAGGGGGCAGTGAACTTGGCGGTGGCGCTGCTGGCCACACTCCTGGCATTGGGCACCCCACTTAGCTGGAAGAAGACGCACTTGGCGGAGGTTAACACATGGCTGGGCTTCGTGGTCCACCCGAACATCCCGCAGGTTCTCATGGCAGCCAACAAACACATCCTGGTCATGGAGGTTTTGCAGACCATGGTGGAAGGGCAGGCGATGCACTCAAAGGACATCGAGAAGGCCCTGGGCCGCATCCAATGGGCAACGGCTGCATGTCCGCTGGCGAAGTCGATGCTCCAGCCACTTTGGGCCTGGAAGATGGCCACCACCACGGTGGGGAAACCCCCCAAGGTGGTCAGGATGCTGGCGTTCATGCTGCGGTTCCTCTTCAACACGCCTTTCGTCCAGTACTCCCCCTACTTGCCAAAGTCCTCTTGGTGGGGTTGCAGCGACGCTAGCGCCTCGGACGACGGACTGGCATTTGTGGGAGGTTGGTGCTCCAACACAGTGGAACCGGACAAGAAGGAGGTGTACTGGTTCCATGAGCAGATCCACGTGGAGGAGTACCCTTGGGCTTTCAAGAATGGGGATCCAAAGCGGAGGATTGCAGCTCTGGAGATGCTGGGCACGCTCTTCCTCTGTAACATGATCCTCACGCACCAAGGCCCTCTGTCCTCCCGGGTCCGACTCCCGGTGGGCAGTGACAATCAGGGCAACGTCATGGCGATGCTCAACCTTGGATCCAAGAAGCCCTACACGGCGGCGATCCTGATGGAGCTGGTCTTCCTGCTCCACACCCATGGCTGCTCGCTGGCGGCCAACCATGTGCCCCGTGAATTCAATCAATGGGCTGATGAGCTGACGCACCCGGATTTCTCTGGGTTCGACCCTTTACAAAGGGTCCCCAAGCAGGAACTCTGTGAGGAGTTTGTTTTTCTCCCGCGTCTCCTGAATGGAGATGCATTTGATCTCAGCGTGGGCCCACCCATGCTCCCGTGACCGGAGCCGGTGGGTGACTCACTTCCCCTGGTGGCAGACCCCCCTGTGGCCTGGGTGCCACTGGCCCCGGCTCAGGGGCGGGCGCTATCAGTCTGCACACCCGTTCTTCAGTTTTTGAGAATTGTGAGTTGGGTGGCCCATGAAACCCACCCAGCGTTGGTCATCTGACAGGGGAAGATGAGTCCCTGGCACCAACACACTGCTCGGATGAAAGAGTTATCGCGTGCTCGTGTGTGGTGCCGTTTGGTTAGCTTGCATACACATAATTGTCTCGTCTGATTCAGGGTAGCCCGCCCCGAAGGACCCGAACCCAGTAGCTCATTCCCGTGGCGCATGTGATGGTCAAAGCTGTGATGAAAGAGGCTCCCCCACCGCTCTTTTAGCACTCTCTTGGCACTTTCCAAGGAATCACAAGGGAACTGTTGGGCTCCAACCACAGAATGTCTTCCGTGGGATGTCACGCAGGAGGGCGATGAGGCCGGGCTCAAAGCAGCTTGCGCAGGAGAGTCTTTTGGAACGATCCGCGTCGATCCAAGAGACCCCCCGATTTTTTGGAAGCATCCGATGGGTATGTGTTCAAATTGGTGGACCCCAAAACGGTGGGTTTCCCTTTGGCTTCCCTTTTGCAAAGCAACCCCAGCGACGTTCCAACTGCTGCAATGGCCAATTTTAGTGGACAACGGAATAGACTTCATTTAGATGCAACCATATAGATATTTGGAGACGCGCACGCACACACACACACAAGAAGCAATATTCACACACACACACATACTCATTTTCTCACCAACGTGATATTAAAAATAGGGGGACCCCCAAAAATGGTGGCTCTGTTTGGCCTCCTTTAAAACCAAGGTGCAAACGAGTGCCCCCAAATGTTCAAGACCTTCCCAACTCAGGTCATCTTTGGCCTCATGTTGCCCTAACCTTATCAAATGTCGATCCGGGTCGGATCGTAAGTTAGTAAGGGTGTACCACGCGCCCTTTCCTTAGCCGCCCTCGAAAGCACGGCCAGGTGATCTATCAGACTATGAAACAAATAAGGGGGAACCCCAAAAATGCTATGTTCCTTTTTCCGTCCCCCTTGAAACCTAGGTGCAGACGGGTGCCTCAAAACGACGGCCAGGTGATCTATCCGGATCCGGGGTTCCCCGCCTACGAGACGCTGATCGAGTGGTCCGGTGCAACGCCGGTGCCCTTGCGCCTGGAAGAGGGCACCGGCTTTCGCTTCCGGCACGCGCCTCGAAGGAAGGCGAGCTGGCGGGGTTGCGTGGGTCCCACCGTGCGCCATGGCGGTTTTTTTTGGGAGCCTGGGAGATTGGGAGATTCGGGGGGGAGGGGGGTGTCATGGTGGCCTTGTTTTTTGGGGAGCTTGGGAGATTGGGTGGGTGGGTGGGTGTGCCATGGCGGACTCATAGCGAAGGGTTCAGGGGTGGGAATGTTGGTTTGAACAGTGGTGGTGTTGACATGTTTGAAGGGGTTGAAAGGGCCAACGCTCCGACTGAATAGCGTGCAACAGGTCTGTGGGGATGCGGGGTTGGGTTGGTTCCCGCTGTGATACCGTTCGGGAACCTTCCATTTGTATCACAGAAGTGGTTGCAATTCCCACGTTGTTCAAAGCCATGTATTTGCCCAAGAAGGGCCTGTGTTGTTAACCCAAACCAATCGTTTTCGGACCTCCATTGTTACCTTTTGGCTTTGTGGTAAAGCAGGTTGGGTGTTGAAATACTGGGGCCATTCGAGTTGGTGGTTCCACAGGTTTTGATTAGATTATAATCAAGCATGAACCTTTATAATAGTGTTAGTAGAACCCGCAGCCACGTGAAGCCCTGGTTTGGTGACTCTGACGTGCATTTTCGGGCATCCATTTGGCCATGTAAGCCGTTCCTTTGGCCATTCGAGGCTGTTGAAAGCTGTTGATTTGGCCCTCTCAAGCCATTCAATAAAACCACATGAAAATCCCAGCTGAAAGGCTGCTTTGCCAAGGACGAGCTGCGACGCCTGGCCTCCCCGCGTCGGGTGGCCAAGGCGCCCAAGCACTTGGGCGCCCGGGTTTGTTCCGTATAGGTGGGACCCAGGAAAATGGTGGTTTTTCTCCTGGGTTTCCCTGAAAGAGCCACCCCCAAAAGGGTACGCCACGCTCAGAAAAGTGCACACCCAAACACTATATTGTAGACCAAATATGACACAGACTCAGACGATCTCCTCAGATGGGCCAAGTTTTTATGAGTGGCCAAGGGAACCCCATTTCAGTGATAGTCGTTGCGAATGGATTCGATTCCAGAAAGCGGGCAGCCGATTTTTTTCATGGACGGATTTCTGGATCTGAGGTTTCGTTGAGCCCTTGATATTGGTGGTCAAAAGTACGGCCCCCTTTAGGACAAGGGTGACTTTTTGTGTCCAAGGAGCCTATGGTTCGCCCACCCATACAGCTGTGACATTTTAATAGGGACCCGCTTGAAAAGTCGCTGGGCATGAAACCCCACAAAAAAATGTCCACCAGAGGGTCCCTAACTACAAAAATATGCCCCACATAGCGGAAATTGTCCACAAAATTATACCACATGGGGGAAACATGGTTGTTCTCAGAAGATCTGGGAAATGCCAAAGTTCGCGGCGCCCGTCGGCCTGCGAGGCACGAAGCTGATCATCCTATGCTCGCCTGGGAACCCGACCGGTGGGGTGCCGGGCTCTTGAGATGACGGTGTGGGTTCGGGGAGTCCCTCAAAGGGGTTTTTCGGTGAGCGGCTCTTCAAGAAAAATCAGCCAAAAGGCTTCATCCCCACAAAGGAAGCCATGCTGGAACATGCAGGAACGCTTCGCGATTTGGTATTGGCTTCGGGTGTGGGGGGTGGTTGAAGACGACCAGACCACAGAGGTCGACAATTGAGGGAGCTGTTTCCCTCGGTTCCGGCGTCCGATGCTTGCGCGCGGGGTCTTTGTGAGGTGCTGACATCGGAGGACTTGGACTGCGCGGCGGAGGTGGCGAGATCCTGCGACAGCTGGGTGCTGAGCGACGAGATCTACTCGAGGCGCTGGATTCCGCGTCTCCGTGCGCGTTGCGGCCCGTTTCGGCAGCTGCCTGGGTCAGACTGGGTGGAGCTTGTTGGCTAAATGGGGAGGTACGCAACCAAATTAAAGGGCCCTTGCTTCTTGATGTGGGTTGCAAGAGGTCCCAACCAGTGTCAAGTCCTAGTGACCCTGGATTGACAACTACATGGCTGATTTTGATTGGGGCCGCCACTTTAGAGGATCTTTTTTTGGGAAGCAGTTTGGAGCTTAACGTGTTGCACGGCTGGGACCCAATAGTGGAACAGGGGCGTCTATCAAACCCTACGCTGGATGCCCCTGTCATATCCCAAGCAAAGCAACCACACTCAATGACAACGGCATGTCAAATTACGGAACAATCGGGGTTTTCTTGGTTTGCTACTTGCAACATGTCGAGCAAGGATTCGGAGACGAAGCGAGCAGTTCCTCAATCCACCGCAGTGAGCCCAAACCCCTCGAGCATATTGTGCCGTTATTCCTGAGTGTCAGTCAATGGGTTTACTTTGACTCCTCCCCTGTTGCAGGCTCACCTTCGATGGCAAACACGACAGCGTCTTGTTACGCGAGGCGCGGCGCTCGTTGGTGCTGCCCAAGCTGGAAGGGTTTCCACGACCAAGCAAATGCTGGGACCCCCCAGGGAAAATGTACGCCAGGCTGAAAGTAGACGCGCAATTCCTTGCAGATGTGGATAAAGGGGATAACTCAAGCAGAATAAGAGAATTGTGCCAGCTAGTTTGACCAACGTAAGATTCCCCGGTATGCGGTGGTCAAGGGCCCCCCAAAAGGGCCTCTGAAAGGCCTCGAGGCCTCTTTTGATTGTTGATCAATGATTTGACTTTTAAAGAGATCTTCAAGAGATTGCCACAAGTCCCTTCGGACAGCCTAAAGCGCGTCGTGCCGAGTGCCCCAAACAGGTTCCCCCTTTTGAGGGTGGGTGTTTGAAAAGGGACAAACAACATGCCCAAAGGAACGTATGTGACACCAACATCAAGACGAACCACATGACACCCAATGACACCAGACCATTTAAGAGCAGGTCTCATTGTGAGGGCACTGTACCCTTTTTGGGCTTACGGTTAAAAGCGGGACGAAGGAAAACAGCCAGCTCAGTTTTTGGTGCTATGGTGGAATGCCCTCCATTCGCACGTAGGGAACATGGGAGACCCTGCTGCAGTTTAGCAGTGTTTTGTGGTTCTGGTTGATCGACTTGCGATACTGGGGAATCAACCGCAGGTGCAAACCTAGGTCCTCCACACCCAAGTTATTTTCTTTTTTAACACACAAATCCTGAGAGCCTTCTTGGAGAGGGAGAACCCTTCCGGGGGGGGGGGGTAGGGAGCATCATTTTGGCCTAAAACCGTCCTCTTTTTGCTTTCGCCAGGGCATGGCGGAGCGGAGCGTGCTTCTGGACGGGTGCAGCAAGGCCTTTGTGGGATCCTCAAATGGGCCCAGAGCTGCGGGGCGGCAGCCGAAGGGCTTCGGCGTCAGCGGCTTCAGGGGTGTTTCATGCAGATAGACATGCAACAAGAGAAAAACTCCCAAGTTTGGACGGATTTGTTTTGTGGGGGGGGATCCCATGTTGGGGCTGTGTCAACATAGGATCCTAACCCCCCGGTTTCCTCACCAAGAGACCCTCAGGCAGTATTGAGGCCGGATTTGGAGGAACCGCCGAACGCCTTTCTGTGGGATTCAACATAAAACGACCCCGAGGCGCAATTTTCCATATTGCACCAAGGGGTATCGTCGGAACAGGGTTGTTGAATATAGGGTTTCCCTTGTGGGGGGAAACCCGACCTTGGTGCAACTCGCACAACTCTCGGATCTTTGAGGGGTCCCTGTAAACCTTGCAGAATCTTGCAGATACTCGCCCACTGGGCGGCCTGTCCCCTCATCGGTCCCATGCTGGGGGCTTACTTATCATCGGGTTGCAAGGATGCCCATTTCCCAGGATGCCTTAGTTGAGGTGCTGTCTCCAAAAAGCAGTGGTTTCACTTTTGGCTTCCCTTTCAAATGAATCCAACTGGGTAGTTGCCCTTCCACAGCCACGGCTGAGCCTATTCTGTTGGAGAGTCTTGGAAGCAACACAGGTTCGGCATCAAAGTGGCCCAGAGCCCACCCAGACTGGTAGCATACCATCTGCCGGCATCCGAGAACTGGCGGAGCCCAGGCCATGACTGGCTGGCGCCTGGGTTTCGGCCTCTTCCCCGCAGAGCTGGTGGAGCCTGCGAGGCGGTTCGTGCGTTACGGGTTGGGAAGCTTTGACCGCGTGAGAGGCTATGCTGGTGGTTCATCAGCATCCATACAGTATGTGGGGACTCTGTCAAGATTCGGGCGGTTCTCTTTTCGGACAGGGGGCTATTTTTGCTTAAGGGGGGGTGGGGGTGGATGGTTTTGGAGCAGGTTGGGCTTTTCCAAATAGGGTATCCTTAAAGCGAGGCACACCCCAATAATTTTGGGCTTGGGAGGTGGGTTGGGCCTTTCTAGCCCAAACAAGGGAGGGAGTTGGGGGCCCCAGCCCCATTTCAGGTCTTGGACAAGTGCTCCAATCGATTCTTTGTGGGGTCGGAATCAACAAGTCCCACCCTGCTTAGGGACGCCAATGCCAAGATTGGGTGTTTCCCCCAGTGATGTTTCCTTTTGGGCTCCTTTTTTTTAGCCCTCCAAACTTGTTTTGCTAACCCTTCGTCCTTTTTCTAACTTCCATTTTTCAAGCCCTCCAAAGGCTACAACAGTCCCGTGGAGTAAAACAAAGCAGACCCTTTGGAGGATATGTTTGCCGTGAACAACACTCGACCCCTCGATGTTCTCGGAGGAACCTGGCCATCAATAGCTGGACCTGCCCGGGCCTTGGAAACCAGCCTGAGCTTCAGCCTGCCAGGACCGCGCGGGCCAAAGGGTAGGTGCACCACCCAGTTTGGTCTATTTTAGTGGGGATTGGGATGTTCACTGGGGGTACGGGATTTCGACCCATGGCCATGCATGGTCCGATCTTCAACGAGCCCTTCCACATCTCTTGCGTTGTGATTCCATTATCTCCTGACTCTTGTCCAAATCACATCAGCCAAGTTGTAATGATGTTAACGGGACGGTGCATGCAAGAAGTCTTGCAAGTAAGAGAACAAGGGGTGGTTGGTTTACCTGCAATATCTAGGGCATCCACTGGATGTGAAAAAGTTCCTGGAGATGTTCATCACTTGGCCACTTCTTGGGCCAATCTATGTTGATCTTTCACAACCTTTTGTTTGGAGCTCCACTTTTCCTCCCAAGCAGGGGTCAAACAAACGAATGATTCGGCTTTTCCACGACCACATTTTCAGAAGGACATGTTTTTTTTGTTTTCCATGGCTCGATTTTCCCATCGTTCCGCCTGAAGGAATAAAACCCCAAGCTCCCCTTTCATGGCACCTGCCGGATCCCAAGGAGATCATCTTCCACCCTGCAAGCGCCTTCTGGGGTAACATGCTCGGCTGCTCCAAGGTATAAAGAAATCGCTTCAATAAACAGAAAACCCCATCTCAGAAACCTTTCTGACCCCGTAGCGTCCTCTGATACTTTCGGAGCGTTCCCATGGAGGCGTGCCGCCCTTCGTGGCCGCCGCGGCCGTGACGGCGCTGCAGTCCCCGGAGGTTTGGACCCTCGGTGGGACCCAAACCTCCAGCCACTGATCCGAATCACCAACGGAATTTTCAGGGTCCTGGAAAAAAGGGTCTGCTCTAAAGAACAGTTTGCTTGGGACAACCAGGATCAGGGTACGGAATGAGCATGAGGTGTCAATAGTACGGCTCCCATCATGAATCGTCGGCTTCTTTTTGCCTTCAGCAACATGTTTTGTTTCTTTTTCAGCGAGGGGCGTGAACCGTGGTGCCACTTGCGCAAGGCGGATTTCGAGTACATGAGGCTCGAATATGCTGCCAGGCGACGATGGGTGCATATGTTCTTCGCCTCCCGAGCGCCGTTGTTGAAAGCGATCAGCTGGAATAAGGCGGTGCCCGGTTTCGAGGATTCCCCCCAAAAATAAGAGCCCCTGCTTCTTTACGGGGCAATGAACAAGTCACAAAGCTGCGGCGGAGGGTTCCACCCCAGAGCTGATTTGGGCTGAGACCCCATAGCTTTGAGCTGAGAAGCATGATGCTGAAAAATCGCCCTTGGCTTTCTCCGCAAATCTGGGGGCACCTGCAAAATGGTCGGTTTCCTGCTGGTTTCCCTTAAAGCCGACATGACGGCTCCCTAACAGACGCACCCCGCTCGAGCCAGGCGTGACTTGGTCTTCGAGCGTTTGGCCAACCTGAAAGGCTTCTCCATCGCCGTGCGGCCGGCCGGCGCCATGTGCCCCCTGGCGGTCCGCGGGTCAAAGGACACAAACCCAAAGTAGTCCAAAAAAGTTTTGGACATGGTGCGCAACAACAGTTTGACTCACTTGGGGGTCCTTGAAGAGTCCCAGAATAGGTGAGCAACAGGCTAAACTCTTCGTTACTTCTTTGTGCATTCGGGCGATTTAGCGTGAGGAAATCAATCGAAACATTGTAGAACGATATAAGGAACCCCCAAAACGATAAAACATGCTTTCATGATGTGGCAGACGATGCTTGGAGCGTCTCGCGTTTGGCAGCCCTTAATCCCAGCCATCATGTCTGCGCCTCCTGACGCGCCCAACATATGTGAGATCGGGCTCTGCGGCCACGCAATGCTGTTTGTTCCGCGAACTTTGGCAAACACATACCTGCCCAAAACGATAATCGAAACGATAACGAAACGATAAGCAGTTCATTCGGAAAATTGTCTTCGTGAGCAGTTGCCCATAACGGTAGACTCGTGCGCACAGTTTTGATGTCTCCATTCGTAGTGCGCCATGAGTGATGAGGAGGCTCCCAAGCGTTTGCGAAAGGAGGTTTTCAAGGACTCCGATCTGCCTGGAAGCAGTGCCAAGATCCCACATGGAGAAAACCAACGGTTGCTCTAAATCAAACGAATGAAATCATGAAAAAGCACCATGCCCAGCTGCGCATGTTTCGCGGCACCTTGAAAAGCACTAAATCCTGACTTTCGACCAAATGGTCACTCGCGATGAAGCCCGCTTGGTCAAGGCAAATGCCCGGAGTAAGCGGAAACATGCAGCTGCTTTGTCTGCTGACCCAATGGAAGAGTCTGAAACAGAGCTGTGAAGCCAATGTGCCGTGACAATAAAACGCCAGTGCGCGCTCTCCATGTGCCAGAAACCTGCAAAACGATACAGGGAACCCCCAAAAACGATAAGAATGAGTCCTAAATAACTTCTGTGCATTTAGGTTTTGCCGCTCGCTCAGGTGATGTTCCTCTGGCTTCCCTTGAAAGCAAACTCAAAAAGACAGCGTATGACCCTCGCACTAAAGAGTTGGGGGGAAGCATGCAACAGAACAGTTGTATTTCGGTCTAACTCCACCACTCCGGTTTATTATGCGCCGCTTCCATATACTAATATACGATAATATATGTAATATATATATATATATATGGTAGGACCCCCCTCCAATACCAAGGTTTTCCTGCTTAAACAGGTCGTGTTGCAGGTTTGTTTGGCATAGAAAGTCTTGTGTTGAGGAAAACCTGGAGTTGATGCTAAAGATGAGGACACGTGTTTGATATTAGATATATATATATAGATATGTATATATATATATATATATTAGCTTTGTTATATTCATGCAGACATTCATACATATGTAGTATGTATGTATGTATATATATATATATGTAGCGTAGACATACACATGCACAGTGTTCTACTGCAAATGTGTCACGGGCACAACCTGCGCGTGGTACGCGGAGCCTTCGGTTTGGGCAGGTACCTCCTGGCCAACGTGACGGGCACAGGGCTGTCCTCGAGGGACTTCGCGGAGAAGCTGTTGGAGGTGGGGGGTGGGTCTTGGAACTTATTTGGCCGTGGGTCAGAATCCCAGTGAACATCCCAATCCCCACTAAAGTAGGCTAAAATGGGTGGTGCACCTACCCCAAAAGGGGATCCCATTGGTTTTGACCCACGGCCACTTAAGTGGGTTGCTTCTCTTCAACGTTTGGAGCCTACCCCTGAACAGTCTTCAACGGGCGGCCGCAAATCCCCGCCTTTGTGTCATTCTTAGACTGTCGTGATTTGCTGGTACCACGAGCACTGCTGGCCAAGATTTCCAACGGCCAACAAGCAACATCTAGGCCCAGCAAAACCAGTGACCCCTTTGGGAAAGCACGTTGGTTTGAGATTTTTCTCAACACACCCAGGCTTCAGCCGCTGCCTGAACGGAGTCTCTTGATCAATATATTGCGAACTTCCATTGAGACTCCCATCAGTGGGAGCTTCCATGGAATCGCGGGGAGGGTGTAAGAAGTAGCCAGACTGCCATCAGCTGTTTCAACCCATGGTTATACACTCTGCACAGCGGGTTGAACACTCAAGGTGGGGAACCTGTCAGCGAGGAGTCGTGGGGAGCTGCCGAAATCTCGCATTGAGGTGATGCTGAAGAATGCCGTGTGCAGAGCTGACCCTTTCACTGCGCTCAAGCGGTAGCCAACATGACTTAAGCCACGATTTCATGACGCGGAACCATGATCATTCCACTTCGATTCTGGGTTCCGCTAGGTTGATTCGGCCGTGGGCCCACCCACCCAAACTTCGGGAGGGCATCCAATTTTGCCATGTCCTCCAGGGTTTGGCCAAAACGGGTTTAAATAACTGTTGTTTGAACAGCCTCCGTTTCGTTTCCCTTTAAGAGGGACAGAGGTTGATGTTTAAACACATCTTTCCCAACCCACATGTTCTCCTGCGGCACAAAGAATATTGTCCGTGGTTCGCGCTGGGTGCAAGGAACATTTTGAGGATTCCCACATAGGATTCGTTTCTTGATCGCCCCTTTTTCAACCATCGTTTAGCTCGGGTAATTCTGAGGATGTCACTTTAACCCAGTCGAAACCAAGCGAACAAAGAGCACTTGGTTTTTTGTCCAGCTCGCTCCAAGTGATTCTGTGGGGGATCAATCTCAACATCGTTGCCCCCTAGAATTGCCAGGTTTCCTTTCTTTGGGTTTCCCTTTAACAACCCGCAGGGTCGGGGTCCTCGACCTCCACCAAACTGGACCAAAAACGGCAACACCAAAAGTCCATATGAGGGACATTTGCAAGTTGGCTTCCGAGGACTTGACATGAGTCAAGCCAAGTCAGGAGGAAGGCGTGGCCTTGCTGGATGGCAAATACTTCGGCGCGGCCGGAGACGGTCTGGTGAGGACCGGGAGGGTTTCGGGAACGGGACTGGGTCAATCAAAGTCAAAAGTTGGTTGTGGGGACAACATATGAGTAGCACGCAAAGTACACTGGCAGCTTCAACATGCCTGCAACAGCTTTGTGATCTTCTTTTACTCTTATCACTTTGCAGTGAACATCAGAATTCCTTTAATGAGTTCATTCCCATCTAAAATTTGAAGTATAGTGGTGCTCCCTGTCCTTCTCAGCTCCATTTATTTGCATTCTATTTCATTTTTATTGGAATAAGATTTGGACAGCAGCCCTATCAAATTTACGTGTTGTCTATCTAGTTTGTTTTGTTGTTGGTATTGTCAACAACATATATATATATATATATATATCAAACATCAATTATACACAAACCAAAATTCTACTTTTACATTCCGGATAGACAAAAGCACATGCAAAGAACTCCTATTGCTATTGCACGTTGAAATGATATCAAGTTCAGTGTCAACAGGTTATTTGACCTTATGTGATTTCATGTATTTGTTAGCTAAACACAAACTGACCCAAGCCAATCACAGGAATTGCTTCAACCTGGATCTGCTCCTTGGCAAACAATGCAGTCAACTTCTATTTAATGTTCAGCATTTGTTAGATCATCATTTCTCCCCTTAAAAAAGATGTCACGAGGGTCAAGCTGGGCACCTCTTAGATTGAACAGGCAAATGCCTGTGAGAAAGGCTTAGTAGCTGTTGGGGTCCAGCTCAATATCCAAGATTGCACAGAAGCGTTTCTTGGGAATCTAGATTCAGGCCATCCCAACAAACATGTCACTTTTCGGAAAACGCTGCACATGTTGCTCAACATTTCCTAGGCGGTTCTGCCCGCCCCACAACATGTGCGGCCCTTGTGTCCGGTTCCAGGGCAGCATGCAATAACTTGATTTCGGTAGTGAACTTAAGTTTCGCGTACATGTTGTTGCTGCGCATGTGTAGATACGCGCGCTCTCTTCTTGAGAGTTTTCTGGGAAGACAACGTATTTACTCGTGCTTCAGCCTGACTCATCTTCGACCACGCATTCACACATTCGGCTTAGCCCGGCAGTGTTACGGCCCATCGAGATATGCGCAGAAAGAACTGACTTTCAATGGTCTAAGCCTGGCCCACCAGTTTCACCGTCATAGGCTTTGACCTGCATGAGTTGTTGGTTGGCCGGGCAGGAGTTACAAAACCCGGGTCGACTCCTTTGCGAGGAACAAAGGAAGGGTGTGGCAAGCTCCCTACTGGGCAGGCTTTGGTTCTTCAATTGGAGGTGCTCCCCTCTTTTCTTTTTCATACGGGGCAAGCACGGGGTTGAAACCAGGGGCTGTCCGTGGGTTCCTTGCATAAACCTTGACCAGATAGCCTAAGGTTTGGGACCTGGCGGGATGTGCTGGAAATTTCCTCGCTCAATTTCCGACGAACCCTAAATGTTGTATGCTTTCTTGGGGAAACCTGCGCACCTTTGACCACGAGTATAAAATGTGTGTTGGTGGCACCCGCGCCTACAGGAGCCTGGGTCCTCTCCAAATAGGATATGGTTGGTCCCCAAAAATGATTCTCCTTTGTTTTCCTTTTGGTTTCCCCCTCTGCTTTGGACGCCACATCAAACACCCAACTAGCATCTGAAGCCGTTGCCATCTGGGCTCCCCAATTCCATGTCTTCTTCCCTGCCGACGGCTCGTCAGGATCTCCTTCGCGCAATCTCGGGAGATCCTGGCGGAGGGTTGTGCTTCTTGGCGAGTGAGTGGAGATGCGCCGTCCAGGAACCACCCTTGTGGATTAATACCCGAAGGTCAAATCGGGTCAAATAAGGCTAACTGAGGTTATCATATTTGGTGGAGGCCTTATTACTTTTTGAGGGTACCCTATGTGCCTAGTTTAGATGGAACACAAAGGGATGAGCTTCCTTTTTTTCCCATTCAAAGGGCTGCTCTCAGAGGGCATCATTGCTAGAATCGGCTGAGCCTGGGCTTCTTTTGAGAAGCAAAGGTGCAGTGCATGAAGCAAGCGCCCTTATGGTCCCCTGACACGTTCCACCGAGGAGCGCATCAAGAGGTTCGTCCTTCGGGTGTCTGAATGAGTTCCACGTGTCCGAGCGAGTGAGCCCGAAAAGGGCGGCAACTTCCAACGCAGGGCCTAAAACGAGCGATTCCTCCCCTGATGATGGCCCCTCGCTTGAGATCCCTTTCCCGGCTTGCCAGAAGCGGAATCTCCAAAGGAAAAATGACAATTTCTCCCCCCACCCAAAACAAAATCCCGACATCGCGCTGGAGGCGTCTTAGAATCTTGTAGCCCTCGGGTTCCTTCAGCTTATTTTTTTCAAGAGCAGCTTCGAATCGTCTGAATCCGGACGGAGCGGGCTGCGCACAGCAAGCGCACAAATGGTGCTCGCGGCATTGAGATCACCAGCGCACGGCTTGGGGGGTTTGCCCCATGAAACGAACAGGTTGCTGGTGAGGATGGTCAGCAGCTCGTGGGGATAAACGACCCCTAGGGCACAAGCAACCCCGGGGTGATGAAATGGAATAAACAAGTATCGAGGAATAAACCCTTTGTCAACCCTTCTCCGGGCTCATCGAGTTTTCCTATGTCCTCAAAGAGAACTTATTTTGACATCGCGGCGTAATGATGGTTCTGTGCCATGGCCGGTGTGGATAGTTCTGTGCCCAAGTCCCTCCAGTGTCCTCTTGGGAAAACCTTCGTGATTGGGCTTGTCTCCAAATGGACATGTGTCCGAATAGGGCCCAGAGCGGTAGTTTCCCTTTCGGCTTCCCTTTAAACAAGGTGAACAGGGTACCCTCAAAAAACACCAGCCCAGTTTGTGCGTGGCTCAAATTTGGCAGGTGCTTGCGGAGCAGGAGAAGAAGCTGCAGGCATGTTGGGTGGCGGCCCCGGATCCTGAGATTGTGCAATGAACTTTTATCTTTTGGAAGCTGACAGAAACCTAGGCGAACTGGTTTGTTGGACATGTTTTTGCAAGCTTTTCCCCAACGGCTGAGAGCTTTGGGGCCCCGCAGTGGTTCGTAGCAGCTTTCAGGGAGGGTTTCGCAAGGGTTCCTGGGGCCGCCGTTGGGGATGCTGCGCAGGCTTATTTAGTTCCTTTTGGACAACTCGACCTTGTAGAAAACCTTTTGGACAACTCGCCTCCGTCCAACAATCTGAACACTTTTCTTTTGGGGAAGCCCCTGATATTTGCATTTTCCATGTTGGACAGAGGGCAAAGCCAGAACTTTCTGGGGGGAAGTGGAAAGACCCAACAAAAAGTTGCCTTCACGCAGGCCATTCAGCGGATTTTCCGAGTCCAACCGCTGGTGGCATAGAGGTTCCCGAGGATGATTCCCATTGGCAATCTTTGGTAGGTGTTTCTACGAACTGGTTTCGTTTGTTCTAGTTGGGTATGGTTTCGCCCACCTCTTGGACTCCCAAATATTTTTGGTTCGCATTTTTTCCTGAAAAGCAAGCAACCTGAAAAAGCGACCCTCGAAAGCACACAAGCGCAGTTTGTTGAGTTCCGTGTCAATCTGCAGGGCAGCAGAGCAAGGCCTCGCGTAAGGGCCATACGCCTCTTCTTCGGCTGGCACAGCCGCTGATACTGAAGTTGTTCGGGTTTTGCTCACCGCATGGTTGGCACGGGCAACTGGCAGCTGGCAATGGTTGTTGAAGGTCGTTTTCCTTTTACTGTGGGGGTAAAATGGGGTTGCAACTTAGTTTTGACGCAAGGGTTGTTTATGGCTCCTTGCCGCTTGCTCGAGTGGCAAAAGATGTCAGATGCGCTGTGCCCGTACCCATGGGCCTATGGCGTTTGAAGCGGAAAAGGCCCCTGTAGTTTGTGCATGGCTACGCAACGATCTGCGCACGCACGATTCGGCTGTCGCTTGGCCGCATGGGGACAGTGTTTTTGTTTTTCATTTCCAGGAAAGGGTCTATTGCCACGATACTTACGAACAGAAAGAGCAACGGAAAACATTACCAGGGTAGGGGTATGGGTTGGGCCCCCATGGGTTTTGCAGGTTGATACCTATCGCTTTTGGGTTGCTCCCCATCGGTTTTCATGGTTTGTCGGTGACTCATTCGTGGCAGAATGGCAGAGTTGGCACAGGTGCTGTCCAGAGCAGCTGAGCTTTCTGAGCAGTCGCTCGGCTTCAGAGAGCCTCTCTGTTGTTCATCACGGGTGACCCGAATTCCATTTCCCTTTTGCGGGGAAGAGAAATGGAATTGGGCACCCCACCCCACTCCCCCTGGAGGCCTGCAAATTTCATCGGGCCACATTTTAAAGGGCGGTGGATGTGATTGGTGGATTCTCTGTAGTGAATATCAGTTTCTTCAGCCGAACTTCCATTTTCGGGGCAATTTGTTGGGTAATTTGTTTCACTTGTGTTGTTTCACCCAAACAAGCACTGACACCATATAGACTTTTTCTTTTTGCTTTGTATAGTTGCTTCAAGAGATGGAACGTGGGACTCATATTCTGGGCCATGGTCAATATTTGCAGTAAATAAAGGGGATGACCCAGGGCAGACGCACCAGAATACCATTCATCCCATGCCTGGGGGGAACAATCCGCATTGACCGTGGCTCACATCAGGTTGGTTAAACTTGCGGTAGCATGGTGTTCATTTGCCAGGGACATGGGGGACTCAATAAGTTGCCCAAGAAGACCAGGTTTCTCACTGAATTTTCCCATGTCATCTTGGGGAAACCTGCGCTTCAGGGACCCCCTTTCGGCAGGTTTTAAATTAAGACCTCACCGTTTGGTTGCCAATCTCAAGTCCCCTCCCACCGACGAACGTGGAAGTGCACAGACCCCCTGTAGAACGACCACTTTCCTCTTGGAAAGGGGGGGTTTTACCATTTCCGTGTTGGTTGGTGGGAGGCTCCTCGTACGGAACTCCGAGCTCGGAGGCTGAAGCTGCCGGTGCTGGTGGTCTATGTGCTGGACGAAGGGCAGCTCCGGACCGGGAAGTTCCGGGCGAAGTTCCTCTTGCAGAGCCTGGCGGCATGCAAGGCATGGGCTGCTCACCCTGTGGGTCTGACCCAAAACTGGTGGTGACTGGGGGGGTGCCCTGTAGCAAGCAGAGTAGGGAAGAATATGAGAATATGAAGCAACCAGGCCCTACCGAAAGGAGGTTGACGGTATCCCAATATTCAAACAGTTGGTTGGCCCCACCCCGCTAAGCCTGATCAGAGCCTGCTAGGGTTGTAAGAGTTAGAGTAGGGCTTGCTCGGTTATAGTTTGTGCCCGTGAGAGAGCCCCGCCCGCCAAATGATGAAAAAACACCTATGATAAAACCTTATGATAAACTATTTTATCATAAGGTTTTACTGGGCGTGGCGCTCCTTATATAATTTCTTTCCTAAATGGTCTAGCGATAAACAATGCCTACCCCATTGAGAAGACATAACTGACAATTTGCATTTATTACAATGAAAAAACTCCTTACCGTCAAGCATTGTTTTATGATGTGGCTTTTCTTCATTTTCAAATTCTTCAGGGTGCTCCTTTCTCCTTAATCTGTCCTTATGATATTCTGTCTGCACGTGTTGATTTTTTTTACACAATCTTAGTTCATAATTACATATCTCACAGTGATAATTTCTTAATCTATATTGTATGGTAGGTTCTTTCACCTCCTTTTCTCTTTCAATTCCTTCTCTCTTACATTTATTGTAATCTCGTTTGTCTTCAATACAAGTATTACATAATTTTCTGGGTTCAGTGAATTCATCAACCGTTTTCTTTTTATTACATCTTGAACATGTTTTATTCACAATTTCCTCCATATATTCTAATGCCCATATTCCTTTAGGTAGTTTTTATGCCTAAAAAATATTTTTCCAAAATGTATGATAAAAATATGTTCAAAAATATAGGGGCAAGGTTAAGTTTATTCATTAAAAAAAGCAAAACAAGTGTTCAATAAATAAATTCGCAAAAAATAAATTTTAAAAAATATTATTCCAAAAATTATGATAAATTATCTTACAATATTTTTATCATATTTTTTTTTAGAAATATTATGGGCAAGGTTAGGTAGATAGAATTTTATAACTTAAGTTCAGGATAATAATTCAATTGATAACCATTAAATTGTGTATATATCTTATCTCTTTCATGCATCATTTTAAAAATAATATTTAATATTTCTGACGATATTTATCATTTACAACTACAATTACAACGACAACAATAAGGAATGATATTTTCTATTGTATGAGTTAATTCATTATCTTTTCGTTGTGCTGTTAGATTTGTAATGATATTACCATTTTTCATGTCCATAGAAAAACCGCATCCGCAGTAATTGCATTGATTATTTATATTGTCTAAAAACCACTGTGTATTTACATAACCTTCTTTAGATATGGTTCTTTTTGCTTTCCTGTCCTGTTCTTTGTAATTTAATACTTTCCTTTCAAAATAACTCATAATACATTTTTGATTAAATACATCATCAATATCTTTTGTATATTTATAAAATTTAACTTTGTTTAAATCTCTACACCTTGTAATTGCAGTCCATATCCATTCTGGATAATTCTTTACCAAAAAATGGTTATAATCAAAAATTGTTATGGTATCATCAATGCTACTGCCTTGGGCAGAATGACAAGTTGAGCAATATGCAAATATAAAATTGCTTCTTATTTTAGCAACTTCTACTGCTTGTAAAATTTCGGTTTTGACATTCTTTACTGTAAATATTCCATCGCTTCCAATATGAACTATTTTATATTTGAAATTTACATTAAAAACTGATGTTTTAGTTTTAGTATATTCCCTACATGTTAAATATTCGCCTACTTCGTATTCATCTTTTCTATTTTCTAATTTTCTATTTTCATTTGAGACATTTTTACAAGTTGTATTTAAAAATGCTATGTTGTTGTTAGAATTGCTTATGTCAGTTGTATATTCGAAATATTTTTCAATAACTTTCATAATAGGTAATTTATTTTCAAAAATATCAAATTTAATATTTCTTAGTTTATCCTTATCTTCCTGTGTGTTAAGTCTCTTACATTCTTTTAAGAAAATATTATATTCAAAAATGTTATCTATAATATTATCAGTATATAATTCATAGTCTCGAGTATTTGTTATCTCTTGAACTGGTTTTAATTGCTTGGTGTCTCCCGTTGCTATTATAATTTTGTTGTGTTTATTCTGCTCTACAAATTGTTTTATTCTCCAATATATATTTAAATTACTGAAATAAATTTCATCAAATACGATTACATCAAATTCTGTAAAATCAAATGGTTCTAATTTTGCATCGCCGTAGTTTATTCCAAAAAACTTATTTATAGTCATTGCTTCACCTTCGAATGCCTGTAATAATTTATTAGTAGGACAAATAAATATTACCTTATATTTTTTATCAACCATTTTTTGACATATATATGATTTTCCTGTGCCCGGTAGTTCGCCCCTGATCATAATAGGGTTATTCTGTTTAACAATCTCTATAATGTTATCAGTGTCGTATTCATCTTTAATATCAATAGTTTTACTTTCATGAACTGGTATTTTTATTAGATCATTCTTAACAACTTCATATTTTACAGTAGGAAGATTAATTTCATTGTCTCGCCCAGAAACTTTCCAACCTCCTATATCATTATGAAATTCTAATAATTGCTTTGCTTTCTCTACATTGTATGAATCAATTACAAAAGCATCGGTTTTCACACTATATACATTAATATCGTTGATTATTAATTTGTAAATGTCTTGGTTCATTTTAAAATTATGATGTTGCATGAGTAGTTCTTTAATATATCTATAGCCGTTTCTTAACACTGCTTTATCCCTTAATTTTAATATATAATATGATGCTTTTATATTTCTTTCATCTAGTTCACGTGTATACTCTTCATACTCATCCTCACGCTCTTCGTCTTCTGTACCTATACGTGATAACCTATGAATTTTGCCTTCTATCTGTGATAACTTATGAATTTTGCCTCCGTATTCTGTTTGATAATGGATTGCTTCATCAATACTCTTAAACAAAATGCTTTGATGTGCGGTAGCCTCTCCCTTCTCTAATAATCCAAAATTGACATTTGCTATTAATTTTTTACTTAGTATATCTATGTCCCTATCATCATCATCATCATCATCTTCATCTATAGTAGTTTTCCAAAGTTCATTAACCATATCCTTATAGTTTGTTTTATGAATAAACGAAGGTTGTTTATAATATAATACTTTAATATTATATTGATTAATAAACTTTTTTAAAAACTTACCATAAACTAAATTATATTTTTTATTAAACATTAAGCCCTCTTTATTCCCCAGTAACGTTTTTGTCATGATGAATTCAACTTCTTCTTTTGATTTAAATTTTAAACTTTCCTCCAGAAGATGTTTACGTTTAATACGTTCCATACTGTATTTATTTGGTATATTCGGATAGTTAACTTCAATATAATATAATGTTAGATCGTGGAGTTCATCAATATTAATTGCATCATTGTATTCTTTCCAATTGTCAAACTGATTAAAAACTGGTATTTCAGTAATATCTATGAACCCCTTTGTAAATGCCTTATTTTCATCGATTTCAGTTTTACACATTAAATTAAATTTATCCCATAATAATCCCGAAGGTGCTACAGTCCTTGTTTCGTTTAATATTTTTATATCAATGTCATTATAAAAAGATTTGTGAGATAGAATAAATAAAGATTTATTAAAATTAAACATTGCTTTATTCATATTGTTGTACATAGTTTCATTATCTGCTGCGATCCAACCATCGCTGGATGATTTAGTTAAATTTTGAGTCTTTATGATATATGTTATCTTGTTAAATTTGACTCTAATTTCATCAATAATACCTGTGTATTTAATTCTGGGTTCATATCCAATATTTATCAACTGGAAAAATATTTCTGCCAAATTATTATCTTCGGGTACTAAATATACTTCCCTTGTTTTATCATCAGTTTTTATTTTGAGTATATCATCTATACATTTAATCATTTTGTATTGCGGGGGTTCCTCTCTTTCATTTATATAATAATCAGTGTGTGCCTTTATAGTGGGTAGTTTTGATATTACTTGTTTTTGTTGTATTTTGCTTAAATCGTGGTTTAATGTATAAATATGGTTATTTTTCACCATAGCGTAAAATGTTTTAATATGACGGTTTCTTATTTTTGGGTTATATTTGTAAATAAGTTCATTTACAAAATTAAAAATTCTAACTTGAATATTAAACTGCTTAAATACTGCCTCCATTTCTTGAATGGTTGCTCCTACTTCCACAAAATCAGTCCTACCTATGATTTCAATAATTTTATCTCTGGTTAGTCTGTTGCGGGTTCTTTCATTCATGATTGTATCACTGTAAAAATCAGTTAATGAATTTATCCAACATTCATTTTTAATATAATTGCCTTGTTTAATTGCCTTTCGTATAGTGTCCTCACTCATTTTTAAATGTGTATATATATATATATGCATGGAAAACGGATACGTTAGATGCATCTCTTAAATTTTCTGCTAATATATCAAACTTTTCACCTGATTTATTCATCATCTCCACGGACAATATTTTTATACCATCTAAGCCATATTCCTGATTTTCTAAATGTTCCATGTGTTTGGCAAACTCCTCGTCGTGTTTCATTATTTTTATTATTTTTGTAAATTCTGGATTTATTTGTTCCGTCTCTCCAAAATCAGTATCCATCGAAACACCTGTTTTTTTCAAAATTCTCTTGCGGATAAATTCCTTAGGAAATTCTTCTCCTACTATTTGAACTGTAGCACTTAATCGCTCATAGTTCCAAAGATAATAATACTTACCAAATGCTTTAAAAGCGGGTTTTGATTTCATTTTCTCCTTATCACCAATTATATAAAGGTCATACATAACAAAATATGTATTTCTCTTCTTCCTTCCTCTTTTCTTATATTCTTTGCCTTCTTCTTCTTCCTTCTTCGATCTTGTTTCTGTCATTCTTTGATTTAGTGGTTTTGTATCCTTGATC